TTATGGAGCACTTGGTAAGACCAGTAAAATGTACTGTTGGAGTACCTGTGATGCCTCGTGAAAAGTGCTTTTGATACCTAGTGAATAGTTATGAATCACTTGTGATGTTAGTGAAAAGTACTCGTGGAGCACTTGTGACAATTAATGAAAAGTACTCATGTAGCACTTGGGATAACAAGTGGAAAATACTTGTTGAGTAGGTTTAATGACTAGTGAAATATTCTTGTAATAACTTCTGAGAAGTACCTGTGGAGCACTTGTGACAACTAGTGAAAAGTACTAATGGAGCACTTGGGATCATTAGTAAAGTACCTGACTACAACCCCTGCAATTCACAAGCCTGTCTGATCCACGATCCAGGAAGCCCTGCACAGCCAGATAGACACAGTCAAGAACACCTTGTCCACCCATCACAAGCTAATGTCAGAGGTTAAGACCCATCTCAAGACGCTGGCCCGAGGGGAGGAGGAGGAGGCAGAGGATGGTGTCCTTGGCAACAGCGAGGGCGTCTTCAAGACGTTCATGATAGAGTACAAGAGCTACTCCGAGGATTTCACCTCCACACTCAAGGCGCTGCTAGTTGGTCAGTTTCTGAACACGGGTGTTTCATTTAAGACTGTTGTATCTTGTGATGTGGTTTGTGGAGTTTTGCACATCACTCAATTAGCCAACATTGAGGTTGCCATTCAATTTTAAGCACGTACACAGTACATATTTATTTTCAATTTACCCAGTATATAAGGGTATATCTTGGAGGGACCATATGTTGTTGATAAAATCAGCAGACTGGCAGAAATATTTGATTGATAAAAATCTTTCTGTGATCACTTTTTGTGAAAATAGTGAAATGTTTTAATTTTTCCCCATGGAGGAGTCCGGTTGGGAAAGTAAGATTTTTGCTGTTAAAAATCTGGACTTCTGTAAGTTGTATCTTTTTTTAATCTCAGGCTCCTCGGAAGATGACAAGGATAGCATCTTGAAGTTGTCTGAAGTCATTCCCAAGATGGCTACCCTGGCAGACCAGACAAAAAGGTGTAATATTTATGACACAAAAAGACTCTATTTAAACATTTTACATGAAGAGATTGAATAACTTTCAGAGCAGAAGTTGATAGAAAAACACAGTGAGACCCACACCTTGCGAAAGTTGTTCTCAAAACAAAATAACTTCCATACTAGGTTCTTAACTGTTCCGTTGTGTGATGTTCCCTGGTAGGTTGTGTGATCAACTGGTTGGTTTGGCTTCTCCACTCGTACCCAAGCTGGTCCCGCCTGACAACAGCCAAGGTGTGTCATATCACTTCGAGCAGCATTGACTTTAAGTTCAAATGTTGCATACATGCCCAGAGAGAGCCTCTGATGTATCTAAAACATGGCACATGGTTTTCATAAAGGCCTTTCTGTACCCAACATGTGCAGTTGATTGGTTCTTCTTGCTTACAGCAAATTTATAGTCAAGCACTTCACAAGTCTTCTCGAGCATAAGTGTCAGGTCTCAGCAAAAGCCACGTGCAATCCATGTGAATTGTAGCAAAGGCGTTCCTTCATGATTGGCTCACTGTTAGCCTTGAAAGTGCTAATCCATTTTGAGCAGAAGCACCCCCTCATTGGTTGAAAAGAGCCATGTTGGTCAAGAATATTCATTTTGTTGGTAGCAACGCGACCGTGACACCTGCATTTCCTAGTCGTTCGTGAACCAGCGCAGTTCACTTCCGATCAAAGGAGTCTCTGGTGCTCAGAAAACAGCACACTCTCTTGATCCAGCTCAAGGCCCAAAGAAGTGAAAAATACTTGTGAAGTACTTTCCTGTACAGTGTGCACGTTACTTTATTGGGTCAGGAACTCCAGACCCTGTTTGAAGTCGACGAATTTGTTTTTGTTTTTGGTTTTTTTGTGATTGGCGTAGCTGCCAGCACTAGTGAGGACGTGGGCGAGGACTCTAAGGACCTTCAGGTCATGAAGGGAAGCAAGGCGGGCTCACCCCTGCGGGTGTCTGGACTGCTGGGCCGGGCGGCTGAGGGTACCCCGGCAACGCCCCCAACGGCTTCAAAGGCAGCCGGTGAGTAGAGACCTAGAACTGGGAAAGCAATGAGCAGCCCACAACTGTGAGATTGACCCAACAAATGGGTTGAGTTAGGTGACATTGGGTTGGGGTTGGGATTGGGGTTGGGTTGGGTTGGGTTGAGGTTTATTAGAGTTGAGTTCAGTTTGGTTTGGATTGGGTTGCATTGGATTTGGATTGGGTTTTGTTGGATATGGATTGTGTTGGATTTGGATCGGGTTGTGTTGGATTTAGATTGGTTGCGTTGGATTTGGATTAGGTTCTGTTGTGTTGACTTTTGATTGGGTTGGTGTTGGGTTAAAGTTGGTTTGGTTTGCATTTACTTTGGATTGGGTTGGTGTTGAGTTTGGGTTAAATTTGGTTTGGTTTGCATTGAGTTTGGATTGGGTTGGTGTTGAGTTTGGGTTAAATTTGGTTTGGTTTGCATTGAGTTTGGATTGGGTTAGGAATGCATTTTGTTGAAGCTGAATGGACTCTCAAAAACGAAACTGAATTAAGAAAAAACACAGGGAAGATTGCCATGCCTCTGAACTGTGTGAAACAAAGGGACACTAAATATGTGCACCTGTTTAGTGTAAAGTTGTCTTGCTGTAATCTGGCAAGCGAAGCACTGTTTTCCTGATTCGAGCACTCAGTTTACAGTCGGAAGCTGCCCCCATACAACTTGTGAACCTAAATTTTGGCTTCATCAGTTTTTTGGTCTGTTGTAAAATTGACATTATCTCCCTAAGGAAAGCCACTGAAATTCCCCCCAATGGTATTCTTAGCCATGACACTGACATTGTTGCACATCATGATGCCAGTTTTCTCATTGATACGGCTGAAAACTGTTGAGCTATTGAAGCAGGCCCTGAAACACATCAACTGTGGTACCAAAAAAACTGAAAGCGAATTTTAAATCACAAATGGATGAATGCAGTGGAATTATTTCAGTATATTAACCACATTAAAATTTAAAAAATATCACTGCAATTCTCTTGGACCGTAACTCTGTGGTTACCAAGTCTTATATCACAACCTCATCCTCACATCATGTTGTTATATCCTAACGCCACTCTTCTGCCTCAGTCGCCGCTCAGCAGCCTAAAGGGTCACCTGCTGTCATGCGAGACCCCCGCACCGGCAAGGTGATCCAGGTGCGCAACACCCACGCCATCAACGTCTGGCGTCGTGTCAAGGGCAAGCTGGACGGACGGGATCCGGAGCCGTCCAAGAGGCTCAGCATACCAGAACAGGTGGGCGGGCTCGTCTGTAGGCTTGATCACTTTGTAGAGGTTTTATTTGAAAGCGATTTGGGCCAGAACAACTTGCCTCAGAATTCAGAGGATGATCCCATCTAACAATGCTGTGAATTTGTGTCGTAGTTGCACCCATAACCAAACCCTTGGTAATGCCAGACACAGTTTCATGTGCAAGACCTTTTATAATGTCTGTCCCAAGTAACAGGTTGAACAATGACAAAGGAATGCTGTTGTTGCAGTTCATTTGAATAGATAGTGGCTTGAATTCAGACTGGAGGTCTTACCAGGTCTCATCTACAAGACTGATTTTGTGACTTATTGTATCAATTTTAGTTATAGAATCGGGGAACTTTTGAAGCTCATTCGGTATAATTGAGAAATGTGGGTTTCTTTGTCCATGTGCTCGAGCAAGTTTTTAAATCATTAAATTCTGAGGTGAACGTGGGCAAAAATCTTGGAGTTTAGCAGAGTCACGCTTTTGCGTCCACTTCAGTGTGAATACTCTCTTGGTGGATGAGTTCTGTCAGTTTCCATTGTGGCTATCTTGGAGTGAGACAGCTCATTTGCTGCTCACGGTTTCAATATTGTCATCAAATTCTTTCAAGCTTGCTTTTTGTTTGAAAAGAATTCTGTAAGCTTGTTGTCAAGTGATTTCTCGTCTCAAACATTTCCTATTTGGTAAATTCATAAGGTTATATTACAATGTTAACATCAAAAAGTAACATTTTATGAAGGAGTTCCTGATTTGTACTAGATTCAAAACATTATCTGTTTGTCTGTTGGCTCATCTCTTTTATAAGGGGGGCATGTCAGAAATTATAATGAAAATTTATAAATAGATTTGTTTTAAATGACACATGTCTTGTATAAGCAAGCAGTGTTCCCAGCTTGTTCTTTGCTTGATAGTTGCTGATTTGGTATGTATGAAGCACAGGAGCACAGACAGATGTTCCTTGGTTTGAGCTCATGGTGTTCAGGAGGTGTGCCTGGAGACCCCGATACAGCTGTCGAGATCCCTTATATCCTGGGCCGAAACGCTCACCCTGAAAGAATGTCTGTAATCACTGCAGGTTGACTTTATCATCAAGGAAGCAACCAGCTTGGACAACCTTGCCACTCTCTACGAAGGCTGGACGGCCTGGGTCTGAACAAGAACGCAGCATGAACATCGCAGGATCCAGAGACAGAGCTAAAAAAAAAAATGAGAAAACTACAAGTATAGCGAGAGACAGTAGGGTTTCCCCAGAGCAAACACCCAGATGGTCAGGGCTGGTCCAAACTAGTTCCAACCAGTTCCAGCCAGATCACCACAATAAAAAAAAAAACAACATGCCTCGTCAGCTTTGAAGAGCAGAGGCTGGTGTTGTTGGGTGGTTCATGGCAAGACCTTGAGATAAAAAAAACACATCACAAGTTTGTGGAGTTCCCTCCCTTTAAAGGTATTTGTTGGCTATCTGAATGCCCAATCTGCATCGAACGCAGCCCACGAAAGGGTGAGAGATGAGATTATCCACGTTTTGGCAAAACTCCGGCCGCTGTATTTTTGTTTCTCGCTTGACAAAAATTGTGTAGCCGGCAGGCCTGCTGCCTACAATACCAGAATTACCAGGCCGTGGGGACATTGCCATTATTATCTTGTCACAGTCAGAGGGCCCAGAAATTGAAGATGGAAAGTACGGTTCGGAACTTTGGAAACCTTTTGAGAAGCAACAGATTGATTTTTTCGTCTGTTAAGAATTGTGCGGGATTCACAAGTTAAGTATTTCTCCGGTTTTAATCCGGGTTAACCTGTACCATCAACCAGTTAATTGAAGCTAATCCTGGTTACTGTCGTCTGTAATTTAGTTGAATGAAATTGTTCGCAGGTTTATGGCAAGTTTCATTGAAAATGAATGCAAACGCCTACACTGAGTATTAGATTCCACCGGCAAAGATGGTGAACTTTCCACTGGTTATTGCTTGGCAAAAAAAATAACAAATCAAGAGCAGGTGGAATCATCGTATTAAATCATCACACTCAACAAGGTCACAAAAGAACAATCACTGGAAAAATTTCACTCCTACGTTAATGGAGCATTCCAAACTCAATATCAGTTTCACTTTCATGTAGCCTTTTGTGACAAAATGACATGTCTGCTAAACCAGTGACAAGTCTTCACCCAGACACACAAATTAGTATGTTGATGAAATACAACTTCAGAAGACCATTTTTTTTTAGGATTTCAGTGGTCCCATTGGTCTTATTATTTGTGACACTTTCACTATGTTATCATGCGTAGTATTTGTCTTTCCCAATTGCAGGTCAGTGTAGTTCACCAGCTTAACCCAGCCATAAAACAAAATTCATCCTCGTATTGAGTGTGGCAATTTCACAGGCCGTGTAACATGTGACAGAATGTCCTGTGATTTCTCAAAACAAACGTTTGCAAGTTATGCTGTGTAGCGTTTATGCTGCTCCTTCTCCAGTCGGTAACCCGCAACGATGAGAAAGCGGACGAGATTGTATTTGGAGCCCCTGAGTAGTCTCCATCTTCACATCTCTGATGATTAAATGAGTCCGTGAAAAAAAAAACTAATTACAGAAGACATGACCAATTCTATGAACCCAGTCTTAAAAGGATTAGCTCTGAATGAGTGACCGTCAGCAGCTCAGTCGTTACCTGAGCAGTGATCAAGTAAAAGAATGTTCTCATTTTTGCTGCCATTCCATCGACTTGAACCGGTCATGAATACTCAACATTGTGAATCTTAAACTTCTGCTTTCATCTGCGGTGAGGGAAGAGGACAGAAGGTTTTCCAAAGTGTTCTTGTTGAAAAGTTACTTCATGTTATAAAGCACTTGCACGTTTTATATTTCTTTTTTTTGTCGTTTGGTAGATTGTAAAGTAAAGACATGAAATACTCAGAGAAATCACTTATAATCAGTGCACAATGATGGCTCATAAGATGAGAAATAGAAGTGCTGTTCTTAGGCTGGCAGTGAGAAACAATGTCACTGTTTTCGGCTCTGTGCGTGGCTGTTGAGGGTGGTGTGATGCGCCCCAAACAGAGGCGTGGGCTGGTTTGGCCGGGGGGGGTGTGCGATTTTAAAGAAAGTGGAACTCCAACTTCCAGCATTTAAACAAGAAAGGAAAGTGCCCATGTGAAAAGCAGATTGCCCCAGATACATGTATTTGCTGTTTTACTTTTCGGTCATCGTGTATCAAAACCCACGTACTTTCACCTTAATAAAATAACGTACTGCTGTTTGGTTTAAAAAATAAAAATATGAACACCTCAAGCAGAACTCTTCCCCCCCAGCACCCCCTGGCCTACGCCGTTGCCAAAACAGATCCCTGGATAGTTTGGTGGATGAGGCTAATTTGTATCTGAGTTACATCTGGGAGTAGCACACACGTCTGTGGGAAATGGCCGCAGTGGTTAACAAGTTACTTCCAAAGGAACATTCCTGGCCATGGTCAAAGATTTCAGTCTTGGTTTGAGGCCCATAATTGTCTGAGCAAAATAGTGCACTGTGAAATATTACTCACAGTCTGTGCATGTGTTATTGGGCAGTGAAACTTGCAAGGCCAATAAGGCTTCAGATATTTACCAGGGGGCATCAGTGACATCAATCAGAGCCCTTAGCCAAGGAATTCTGGATTTTTTCACATTCCTGCTTCACAACAAAGTTGCTCACTGCTTTGGGCCTGCTTGGTTCACGAGGGTCCAGATCTCGGTCATTAATCTGTCATTAGTTCATGGACGCCAGAGCTCGCCCGATGGCCAGAGCAATCCAGTGTTGGGACCGCTGATCAAGTTCCAGATCTTTTTGAAACAAATTGGCCCTGTAAGTGGCCGGGCCACATTCCAAGGGTACCAGGGAAAGCAGGGCTTGTTGTACCAGGCACGTGATGTGTGTGCCTTCGTTTCACCACTCAAGAGCCACAGTTTGCACAGAGGAGCTAAGGAATTCAGAGTATGCAATTTTGAAGACATGTTTACCTTAGAATCTATTGTATGTTCATTGCCATTTATTTCTTGTTATTAATGTTAGTGGATGTTACTATTGCATGAATTAGAATATTGTTCGTAGCATTGTGTACAGTGTAGTCAATTTGTAACGCACAGCTGTGCATGTGTTATGTGTAAGAGAAAGCACGTCTAGTTGGAACAATCGCTGTCATCAGCCAGGGGCTTGGTGTGCTGGGGTAGTTTTGATTGGCAATCTGAGAATGAACTCCTCTTGTCTCAGCTGACCTGTAGTTAAGGGCTGTGTCAGAGGAGAGCTCTGTTTTTACTATTGGGTTCAAGAGTAAAGCCTTGGTATTACCTTTGACTGTTTGGATGGACTGAGCAATATGTCTGCGGCCACCACTGGAATTGTAGTTAAAAGAAAGGGAATTATTGACATGAACAAAGGTAGGCAAGATCCAAAGGCGAGACTTTGGAATCCCTGTTGAAATTATTGTTCAAAACCCCAGTATTTGCGGAGTTCCCCCTCCCCCCATCAAATTGGGAATACACAGGGATACTTTCTTCCTTGGAGGGTCTTATTTTGGCAATTTTCAAAAATTTGTGAAAGATCTGAGGAATATTTGGGAAAGCAATATTGCACAATACTCAGAAATTCATAGTAGTTGTAAATGCTTGCTGGTTTTGAGGACAGTGGTGTTCAAGCGCTTATGTTGTGTCTTTGATATATCTCCTGATATTTCTCTGTGCAGTCTCATGCTGATGGGAATGTGTTTCTTCCAACTAGACAGTCTGTCTGGATTGTAATTGTTATCGTTTTTGCGTAAAAGACTGTTTCTTGATGCAAACGATGACGTCAAATTAAGGGGCTACTATGCGCATGGATTCACTGAGCACTGAAAATTACGACATTGAGCCCAATTGCATGGAACAGCTAAGCAGAAAAGTTTACTTGACAAATTTATACACTTAGCAGAATTGGCCGTGGACCAGTCACAACTAATGGCATTTTGGCCGGTAACCTGCTTTTGCCAAGCAAACGTTTCCTTGCAAATTTATGAGCTTAGCAACTCTGTTGAATCAGTTCCTGGTCATAAGTTGATTTGTTTTTGACCACACAGCTTTGCTGAGTGGCTCCATGGCTTTGAACCTGTAGGGGTGCACATGGATGCTTTTTTTCGTCGTACTTCCAGGTTGCGAGTTGACTCAAATCCAGGAATGAGTTAGAAAGGAAGGCCCCAAAGCATGGATATACATCGGTGAGGACTACAGAAACAGTGTCTGTAAATCCACTGGGAATCCTTCAGGAAAAGGAAAGGATTTTAAGCCTGCTTATTTGGGACAGCACTGGAAATCTGTCCTTCAGGCTCGTGTGGGATTTGAGCCAATGGCATTGCATTGATTATCATTAAGGAATTCGGAGCTTAAGTTCAGAATCTTGATTCATGAATCATTCCCTACATGAATGGAAGTTTTCTGAAGTCACGGACAGCTTTGTTTGTCCCAGAAGAGAAATTGTTTGGCCTCTGGCTAAATAACATTCATGAGAACATGAAGTCCTGCTTTGTGGTAGATATGATACTACATGTAGAACTGTGAACATTTCTGTTCTCAACCACATTTCTCTTTCAAACTTTTGAAATTCATATTACATTGACAGCTTTCAAATTCACTATATGTACACAGATCAAACTAGCAGTAACAGATTTTTTTTCATTTGTAATGACTAGGATTTATTCTAGTGTTCAGTTCCATTTTGACACTTGATTCGATTAAATTACACAGCTTCATTTATTTGGACATCACGTTTTCAAGAAAATGTTTGTGTTTTGCATGTGTAATTGTTAAAAAATTAACTGTCCGATGTAGACATCAAATGTATATTGTATCCAATCTTGCTGTTGGCATTTTCTGAAACCGGCCAAATCTAGCTCTGCAACACTGTAAGCACTACGTACATTACATTTACAATGCACACTTGGAAATTCTGGGCTGGACAGTTCATGAATCACCTTTACAGCTGGTGAGACCATCTACTTCACCATCGTAAGCGTTGGTATTCAGAACTGTCCATGCCCATATCAAGGTTTGCCATTCACAACTTGAGGATAAACACAGCAGTTTAAGGTTCACAAGTCTTGGGGATAGATAAATCATATTAAATCTGCCAGTTGCAGGTCTTTTTCATTCCAAAGAGAAAGATGGGGCACCGTTTCCAAAAAAGTTTTTGAAATTCCCTACTGACGGGAAAGCAATTGTAAGATCTGTTTATCGTTTTTGTTGCTACCCTGACATGGTTTTTGCACGATGTTTCAGAGATTGTTTATCCCGAAGTTGAAATGGTTAAATCCTGAGGTGTACACATGCAGTCGGTATCGGTAATGTAAAACTTGGCATATTGGCTTTGAGCATTAACTAAAGAGGGTGCTCTTTGGCTACAAATGAGAGCTGTTGAAAGTCATTGACATCCTACTGGTTTACTTGTGTTTAATCAGTCCAATTTGCAAAGCAGTGCGTACTGACTGAAAAGACAGGCTTTCATCCAGCAACATGTGGGAAGTGGTTAACAACCTTTACTTAGTTTTTAAACCAGTTAGCTCGCTAGTTCACGTAAGCTATTGTCACGGGTTAATGTGGGATAACTTCAGAGACGATACAATATAATAGGCTTAAAATGGTTCTTTGACCACGATTAATTTTATGTATGGATGGGAAATACTTTAGATGCACAGGCAAATTTGCTATTCTCTCTCTCACGAATGAAAGGATTCATTGTTAGTCAAGAAAAAAAGGGTGGGAATACCCATTTTGATCTATCGCTCACATCACATTTCAACACTATGAACACCACTGTTGTAAATGGAGGCATAGCTTTAGCAGCTGGTTCTTTAAAGTTCCAGTTACTGTAGTTTCTGTATAATTCCACTTTCTGTTCTGCACAGTTTCAGAAATCCAGTTCAATAAACAGCAGTAAAAATCATATGATAATACTCTGGTTATAAAAATGTTGGTTCATTACACATGTTTTACTTAAGCTTTATCTCAGTGTCATTATGCTGGTAAGTTTTCTGTACTTTCTTTTTTTTTTTGAACTGATGTGTTTTTCTCTCCCCCGTGGGTTGTGTGTATGACAGAGGTTGGCCAATCAATTAAACTGGATACCAGACAGTCCAGATCACCCAGGAGCATGTAATACACCTTGTGCACCCTACAGGTGTACAGGTGTAGACTGTTGTGTGCGTATGGTGCATGCATTGGTCCAGTGTGGTGCCCAAGCCTCATTTATTAACATCTTCAGGATGCATGACTGAACCCAACAAATCGAGTCAAAAGTCAGCAGAGCAACTGTGGACTAGGCCCTTAAAAAGTGTAAATCAGTAGGAACCCTCAGCACATTTCATCTAGATAATGTTGCTGTTTTATGGGGATGCCAAACTGCTGATTGGTTCATCAAAACGAAGACCTCATCAGTTTGCTCTAATCGGAACTAAAACTAGATTAGTGAAAGAATGATCTTAACACTCATTTGTGGGATCCAGTCCTATGTGCCATATTTATCTTTAACACTGGATATCGATATATTTGTTCTGATTTTTCCCTTTCATAATATTGTTGAATCACATGAATATTACTCTTAAGTCCATTTTCTTTCCTCATTTCTTTTTCAAGCCTTATCTTTCTGTTTAGATTTCGCATTCCCACCTGTCCACTCTTTCATTTTTGTGTGATCAGAAAATACCTGACAGGATAGCGAGTGTACTCTAGTATTCACTTTCAGACAAACTTTTGGCACCACCCATGTCAAATACCCTAATGCCTTTCCCTTTGATGTTCACCTCTATGTGTGCTCTGGGCAACCTATGCTGGGGTCAATTGTCACACCCCAGTGCACCCACATAATACCCCCTAAAGTGGGTACAATGGGCGCAGGCAGGATATTAGGGGTGTTGTCATCATGAACCTCCATTATTATTATGCTCTTCAGAGAGATGCCCTACCATTCACACGTGCACTGGTGATTTGTGCATAATGTAGAACTTATAACTGTCATGTGACAAAGACTACATGTATCTGGGGTTTGAAACATTTTAATCAAGTTGTGGCAGGCAAATCAACTTGAAGTTTTCACTGCTTGTCAACTCTGGAGTCAACTGAAGTTTACTTCCTGCAAATGTGCATGGAACTATTGGACCATATTACAACCCAACAGTCAATTTATTGTGAGTCATTTTGTTTGGGACACACCAATAGGCAGGTTTCCGGTGTTTCATGGTGAAATTAAGGAGAGTGTATACGACTTCAAAAGTGAATGGTTCTAATCACAGGGAAGAATTTTAGCACAGGTCTGGAGTTAAAAGGCAAGGCAGAGACTGGAAAAAAATTGGTGGAGAAGAGGAGAAAGCTACTGAGACGTTTAGCTTCTCGATGACGGTCTAAAAATTCATCACAGAATCGTGGTTATCGATCAACATGCTGATACTGTGGAATCTTGAAAGCGTTCTGTTGTTGCAGATCACCTTTGCGTTGTCACTTGTTGCTCGCTCACATTCACAAAACTTCACAGGGGTAAGTCTCATCATTCTAATTTCAGTAAAAACTGATTTGTCCCATTTTTGGCGAGACAGTTTATTTGCATTTTCTCTCTTTTATTGGAATCTTAAATTTAACATACAGTTTAGCTGTAGGAGGCTCTGCTTTTTGATGAGTGGTTGAAAATAGCTTTAGTTTTTGTGAAGACTTCCATAAAATGTGGAACAAAAAAAGTTCAGATTTTGATGTGTTGTGTATATTTCAATTTGGATGTGTAAAATGGAAATCGTTTGAAGTGTTATGTAATTAAATCAAATATCTGTGTCCTATATCCTGCAGTTTATGATGTATGGTGATTTTGCATCATATTACTCCCATAACAATTGTTATATGGGACTGGACAGTGACTTTAACACAGCAACAGCCTAATTTTCACAATATAGATGTTAAATCAGGAGAAACTGTGAAATGCTGTGTACTACTTTTTTGAGTAACCAGCAAATTCGTCTTGAAAAGCTAACGTTTTGAGATAACAAGACTATTCTTAATGGCACATTTGTATGAGGCTACATACATTTATCCTTATCTGCTCTTCAGAAATATTGGCAGAATATTTTAGTGCCTCTTACTGAAGTCCAGTCAAATAAAACAGTTACTCTCCTTTCTGAGCCATCATTAAAGCCCGCCAAAGTAACAAAAAGGGCTACAAACATTTCCAGCAATTATGGGAATGTGATATGCAAGTTTAGGACATGTAATTCTTCCACTTGGTTCAGCCAACTGCAGTGCCTGTCATGATCCAAAAATCAGTCTTCCCATAACTGGCCATTCTACACGACTGACAAATGCATCACTGCACCTCATATGACGAATACGTCACACGTGTACAAAGCATTTTTGGGGCCTTTTTGATCCAAGGTAATCACACATGGTACATGGTACACCCATGCTCCACTGATGAGTGCACATAAAAGACCACTGAAGAGTACAGCACACCGAACCACAAAAAGAGTGTTGAAATTCCCGTGGCTTATCCTTTGGCTTTATCAGTTGGGTATGAGAAAGAATGTGTGGTTCTCTGTGAAATAATGTATTGATGTAAGCTTGCTTTTAAGCTTTGCTTTCCCTGAGAAAGTTTTAAAGAGTTACGTTTAAAAGTCCAGTGTGAATTCATAAAAACTGATTAAAATCCATAAATAAGTGCCTTTTTAATTTTTTTTTTCACTTTTGTATAATCTGTCCAAAGTGGTCCAAAGTTAACTTGTTGCCTTATGAATCAATGCATGTACATGTACATCCCCTTGCAGTGTTGATGTTGTCACTTAACTTTTGATAGGCATTTTGGTCATTATTAATTTATTTCAAGTTTATCATTACTGAATGAGTTTGGAGGGTCTGTGAGCCAATTGGATCATTCATGTGTACATGTAGGTGTGAAACAGGTTATGTTATTGTTTGTGTAGCCTATCAAAAAAGTGTTGTACTTGTGTTCACTTTTAAGTACTTTTTATGCACTCCTTCGTGTACTTAAGTTATCAAAACATATTCCTGTGCATTAGGTCTCTGTACTGTTTCCTGTACTTCTACTAAAACCTTGTTGTATTACTCATTGAGAAGCATTTGACTTCAACTGTTGAGAAAGCCTTATCTCATGAATCTTCCCATTGAGGCCAACAGCCAATCAGCGTACTTCTTTGCTTGTCAACAGGGAATCCCAGGTGTGGAGAGTGCGTGTGCCAATAGCAATGAGCAGTCGACAACAATCCAGACTACAGACATTCAGTACGAGTACCAGTTCCTTCTGACGGCGTCACTCAGCAACGTTCAGTTTGATGCAAGGCTAGCTGACCCGGAGAGTGCACTCTTCAAGAGTACGGCCTCCGCTTTTGAAGCTGAGGTAAGCTGTTGATTTCGTGGAACATGCCAAGATGTTGCTGAATCACATCTGTTGGTGCTGTAAATTACAGAGGGATACTTTCGGGAGTCTCATTGACATTTTGTTGAAAAGAGGAACGAATGTTTGAAAGTGCTCAGTTAATCTGAATTGTTTCTTCTGTGATTCTGCTGGGCATGCTTCTCATTTTAAGGAAATACATTTTTAAGGACTTGATTTCAATATATTCAAGCCTTACGTTGTTCAGATAGTTATGTCGATTTAATTTTTCATCATCCCTGTGATAACCTTTCTTTCTTTCAAGAAAGATTGTGGTTTTTAACAACATGTGCATTATGTTTCAACGTAAATTTATCAGCATTGCCTGAGCCTAACTTTGTGGAATGCCTTTAATTTCTCTCAGGCTTGCTCATTTAAAATATTAAATTACATTGACTGTGTATCTTTTTGTTGTTCTTGTCAGGTAAAACTTGAGCTATGGCCTCTCATCCAGAACCCTCCTCCCTCCATGGTGGTCGTCTCTCTGGATGCTGACATTATTCTATTCCGCACCAGCGACCTTGGCCAGCCCGGCGGACTGACCCTTGAGTGTGTGCTTAGCATCGACAGTGACCAAAAGGATGCCGAATTCCTTCAGTCACAGTTGCAGACAGTGGCTCGAGACTCTGCCGAGTACCCAAATTTTGTGCCTCGGGTCTCTGCCTCAGGTGAGCCAAATATGGCTGCAGAAAGTTCAGTTTTAGCAATGATATCAAAAACTCAGTGAGATTTCGCTACTGAGCAACTTAGATTTGAACAGTCACAGATGGTATATCTCACTTAGCATTGGGGCTGAGAGGCGTATTTCTAGTGAGTAAACTTTCCTTTACACCATAGATGTTATATATTAAACAGGTTTTGCCCTTACCCAACGTATATCAATAAGCACTGTGTGCTCAGTGCTTGTCCGAGAGCTTGCGAAAAAAAACCTCACAAGCTTACTCGGGTGGGACTCGAACCCAAGACCTCCTGCTTACTAGTGCAGAATAGTGATGTTTGAACTCAGCAGATCAATCGTTGTATCAGTTACACAAGATGTGTACAATTGTTTGGTGTGAAAACAAGCATCCAAAGTAGCTGACTAGATTTTTTCATATTGAGTACTGGGCAGAAATACATAAAGCAAAATCTAAATTCCTTTTTTTACCTTACTAAACTTGGTTGTGTTGACACAGTGCAACTTGATCAATTGCCCTTCATCAAAAGTATAAGCAAGTATCAAATATCACTTTTAAATTGTTCACCTGTTTCTGAAAGAAATGCCATGCACACATCACTCTGTTTGGTTTTCAATACGTTTATTATACACAGTGAACTACTGTTTGCGAGAGGTGATCCTAACCCAAGAGGGCACCCTAACCTGGCCCGTGACGGCCGTAGGTACGGACACAGGGACTGAAGAATTATGCCCTGCTGGCACTAGATATGGTAAGACACTCTTACTTCAATGCATTGAAGAGAAACATAGTACAGATTTGAATACTTCGGTTTGTTTTAGCCAGGGAACAGGTTGGTTGAATATTTACATACACTTGATGTCAAAGTATTTCATTATTTTTTGATCAAGCAGTTCATCTGCTTTTAGTATATTTACATATCAAAGGTATGTTCATATGTAGTAGAAATCCAGCCATCAGATGCAGGAAAAGAACATCTACCGTGAATACGTTACACCTTTAAAACTGTCTTTGGTGTACGAAACATTTGATCACAATTGTGTCCCCATTCTGTGTAGAATCTCTAAACCTGTTCTTACAACACAGCTTGCCCCATGAAAAGTGCAAAACAAAATGATACAAAACAAATTGAAATTAAAAAAATTAAATCAAAAGTTGGGGGGCTGATATTTTGATCCCAACATAATCTTTCTCAAAGAAAGAAGCAAACTGCTGTTGCTGAAGTTTTTTGATATATACAAGTTGAAAGGAAATCAAATGAAACAAAATACAGCACCACGCCAAAGTTCTGAAAATACCATGACAGATTCTCAACAATTTCTTATTGTACAGCACACATTCTTTTAGTGTTTATAGACCAATCCGTTTAAAAGCTATAACTGCAGTGGCACCGTACTCACACGCACATTCTTCATCTTGACCTGCGCGTGCATTCGGCAAATCACGACAACCTATTGGTCAAAGAGGCAGGTAACACGCGCACCACCTGTCCATGAGCGTTGTGCCGCCGCAGTAATGGCTTCTAATTCTGGTGGTTGAATTACACCATATAGGGGCTTACAAATCCATGTCCTGTCTGAAGTCTCATTTTCAAATTGATTCAGAGTGATCGATTTTCCCAAGTATTGAGGAGTTTGTGCTATCACTAGTACAGGGTAAAGCCTGTATTTAAAAAATCCCAATTTCTGTAGGCGTGGGAAAAAACTTTGTTCAATTGGTGCTCAGTAAATGAACATAGTACATTGCCTTTCTGAAACACGGTTCACTGGTCATGAAGCATAGATTGAAATAACCCATAATATGGCATAAATAAATAGCTCCAAATGTGGAGTGCCGTTTTATGATATCATTCTCGTCATACCAGGAGGTTAAACTGTGGCATTTTGAGGGAACAAAAAGAGGCAAACCTGTTTTCAATCGGCTGGCGAACCGTTGAATGAACGGGGAAGTCCCTGTGTATCCATAACAGGACCAGTTATGTTCACTGTGCACTATTATGCTCCAGGTTTTATTTTGGTATACCTTATCTGGCTGTAGAAATGGTAGAAAAGCTGAGTGGCTGTGGAGTAAACCCTTTTGATGTATGGGAATTCCTGCAGTGATAATCAGTCATAATGTCATTAGTTCCTTTTTGATGTCTCTTTTTTGTTCCCAGCGTTCGGAGTTTAAGTATTGTCTTCTTGCACTTGCTTGGTTATTAAACCCTGTGTTGATTTCCTTTGATGTATGGTGTATGGGTCATTCTATAAATATGGGGTCCAGTTTTTGACATATGATTTGTAAATCTATGAGACATTAATTTCCAAGAGTAATTAAGTCATGCATACTACCTGTCAAATAAACAGAAAAACTTCATTGATGTTTCTTTTTAACTTGTCATTAGCAACAGGAACACAAAAATGTCAAATGTTTGTACCCCAGATTTACAGAATGACCCATGTATCCTCAGTCAGATGGTTTCATCTACAGTGCAAATGAATGGTCCATAGGAAAGGAAAAGGAAAAAAGAAATCGATTGCACATATCAAAATCTTCTCAACAAATGGGGAAAATGTCAGCAATCTACATGCCAAAAATTAAAGCAACAATAACAACAAAAACTTTATCCAAAGGTTTTTTGTCTGTCAATACGAAGGTGCTCAAAATGTAGTCTTAGTTTTTGTACTTGTCCTCATCATTTTCAGTCTGAAATTCTCAGAAGCCCATTAAGGTTGATGCCATTTTGAAGAGGAATATCAGTAAATTTGCTAGTTGTAGGTTATTTTGTTTATGAACAATTCTGAAGACTTCTTTTCTTACAGTTGGATAAACTGTTACAAATAATCTTGAAATCTAGGTATTTTTTGGAGGAAGACATTAGCTCCCCCCATATCCTTCAAGCTCCTCCTTCTAAAAAGTCCACTGTGCCTGCGCACAAATTGCAGCATGAAGAAAGTAGAATGTACATGTATTACAGGTAAAGTAGTTCATGTACCCAAGGGAGGAAGCTCTTGCAACGGAATAGAGATGTTAAAAGTTGCCTTGAAATTAGGACAATGAAAAAAGGTTAAATTGGATGAAAATACAATTCAGCAGCAGACAAACAAAACTTTGGCTGCTTTTGCTTGATCACAGAAAATTTAATGGGAAACAGAAAGTTAGTATTTATCCTCTGGGTGAAATCAAATTTGACATGGAATTCTTGTGCTTTTATTCTTTGTGACAGTTGGTGAGCGTTCCTTGGCTCGCCGGTCCTGTAGCCAGTCTCCTGAACCACCCAGCCATGCAGTGTGGGACCCCTACGTCTGCATCGACTGTGGCAAGATTATCCAAGTAGATGATGCCCTTGGAGAGATATACAACGAGGTAAGGAAGTCAAACAGAAGTGGGATAATAGGCAGAAGGACTGTTGGAACTAATTGAAAATGAGTCATGATGTTCAAGGAACAAGTTGCTAAATGAATTCACAGCCAAGAACAGGGAGATTAACAAATTTTTTGGAATTTCAACGTAGAGCAAGTCTGAGTTTAGAGTGCCGAAGCATGACACGCCACTTGAACCAGGAAGTGTGGTGCAAACCAATGGAGTACGCTTGTGTATTGGTTCACATGTTGGTTCTTGTGCTGCTGCCTCTTCCACACATAATTGTGGGCATGACATAATCACTTCGGCTTTCTAGAGGTTCAGTAATTAGATGGATATTCATTTTGTAAAATCAGGCTTTTTTGAGAAAGGCCTTCATTAGTCCAAGAAATATACCGAATTTTGTGAAAAAAGTTGTGTTTTAGGAAAGAAAACATGAGCTGAACCCCAAAAGACATGAGCATCCGAAAAAGCTGCCTTAGTAATAATGATGCAGTTGTGAAATTGCTTTCAGCACATTTGTTCTTGTATTTACTCGTGAACAGATCAGACAGAATAGCTCAGTTATTTTGGACGGCGTGACACAAGCCGCTGTGTTGCTGAATGAGGTCACAGATATCACGGACATAGGCTTCAACTGGGTGGCACTGATCCTGGAGTATGTGGCTGGTTTGAACTCATTAAGCACAGAGGTGAGTGCTGTTGATTTCTTTTAATGTGTATTAGCTTTTGGTATAACTACGTCTTCTATTGTGAAATTTGTGAATAGGTTACGTTTAATTGGGGACATTTTCCCTTTGTCTTGAGTTCATCAGTGTATGCCATTCAGCAAGTGTTCAGATGGATTTTTGTCCAATCTTGGCTTTGTTGTCGGGCCAGACTGTCTTTTCGTACATGTAGTCCTCCATTTTTCAAACCTTCCAACTTATGGGAAGAAGTCAAACAAGAGGCACATGCATTCTTAAGGAGCTAGTTCGTTATGTCAAAATGACAAGGTCACTCGAGGACAAAGCATTGACGTCACGCCATTTCAAACATCTTCAACATCTTTGAGCTGGCACGGCCAAATTTGCATGCTCATGTGGATATTTGAATGATTTGACAGTGCTTCATTTTGAATATCAAACTTGCTGAAAGGCATCCTTCTGGAGCTCATTCTACAGCAGTCAAACCTCTAAAATATTGACCTACATGATACAGTAATTTTTGTGACTGCTAAGAGATATTGGTATAGTTGTTGGTGTTTCTGTATTCTTTTTATCTCCATTTTTTGTGTGTGATTCCAGCTTCTTGACGCGGTGATAAGGCTGCTGAGTAACCTCCTGAGGCAAGATGGGCAGACCTTCCTGCTCGCCCAACGGCAGTCAAGCAGCTCCTCTCGCATCCTTCAGTCCCTGGCCTCCATACTCAGGGGGACTACCCTGGCTGGAGCGGCGACCGAGTACACCTCTGTGCACCCCAACATCGCCGCGTCCCTGCTGGATGTCCCACAGTCACGCATCCAGGAGGAGTGGATCAGCTTTGGATCGGTGGTCAGCCCAATCGCCGATGCGCCGCTCAATGAGGGCAGCGTGGGTGTGTCCACGGGACCAACACTGTCACTGCTGCCAAACAGCGAGGCATATGTGCATGTCAAAGTCGAGGGACCAGTGTCCACAGGTAAATGAGCGTTTCAATATGACGTTGGTATAGGTGCAGGTTTCAGGAGCCACATTGTCTAGGAAGGTATTTTGATTTGTGAAAGTACTGCCTCATCAGCATTGAAAAAAAATTGAGATAAATGAGAGACATAGGAGTGTATTTCTTAGTACTGGTACTAGAGTTTGGTACTGTACCCTCCCAGCACCTTCATGAAAAATGCCAATGGGTTGTACACATTCAGATGAAAATTCAAAAGGGGTGACAGGTATGTCATGTTGTATGTGCCTATGCAAAAACCCATCCATGCATGTACTGTTTTTTCATTAGTTGCTTTTTTGAAGAGGCTGTATATGTGGTACAACCTGCTATGCATAGGCATATGGCATGTTTTACTTGCTTCCATGAGTTACACGGGTTTCACCTCAGCTCTGCCATCTCGCTTGCTTGAAATAGCACCCATGCTTGACCGTCCCCAGGTCAGGATTGCCCTGTGTAAGCTTCTCGAATTTACCCATTATGAGTGAGTACATGTTCTCCAGTCAGTAGGCAGAGTTTCAAATCTGCAGGGCTCAAATGATGCTGCAATTAAGGTATTCGCCCTGTCCTTGAGCAGGGCACTTTCCCTCAATATAACCTCAACTTGCTTTTCCCCATCCAAAAGTACAACGTAATCTGCACTGGACTCGCATATACACTATTGGGCAAAATGAATAGAAATGATTCCATATGATCTTCAAGATTCCAGCTGGAAAATTTCAGATAACAGCCAAAGTTTCGGGTAAATTCTTAGTTGGTGCCACCTACTTTTGTTCAGTGCTACATACAACTTTTTTCTTGTCAAACGTTCAGGATTATAGCCAAAGTTGATGAATATTTACCATTCATATACAAATTACAACTGTCAGATGGAATCCTAATCATATCCAAAAGATACTTCTCTATATATCCACTCTTTTTTTTGTGAGATGCAGAAGGACTGACAAGCTCCATGTTTCTTTCATATTTCAGGTACAACCACCGTAAGAACTGCATTTGTCATATACCACAATGCCAAGCTCTTCCAGTCCATCCAGCCCCCTGCAGCGATGACGTCAATGGTTGCTGGCCGAGTGGTGTCGGCTGACATCCGAGCCACGCAGAGCCCCGAGCTGTCTATTATCACAAGATTCAAACCGGTAAAGATGAGAAAAAAAAAAAGGAAATAGAGGACATCATTCACCCTGCATCCTTCTACCCCAATCCAGGGTCTGCTTAGGCTCCAGAATGGGTCAGACAACATTCTTCCATGAATTTCTCAAAATGTGATTTAGCTTTCCACTAATCTTTCTAATGTCAGACCTATTAAAATGTCAGTCAACAGGGATTTCAGTTGTTGGTGTTACCACTGAGATGTTGACATCCAAAATTATTGATGTACAAGTGTGTCCTTCCGCAGGTAAATAGTGAAATGGCAGTGGGTTGAATTTTCCCTGCTAGGCTTCAAGCTACCATTTCCTTTCAGAAACTGATTTCAACATTGTTCACATCTACAAACCATGAAAGGTGTGTTGTAACACTATGGAAGCCAGTCTCTTTTGTGACTTGTGTGGTTCTGAGTGGAACCAGCTGTTTTTACTCAATATTTTGGACAGTGTGCTGTACAGCATGTGTTGGTCACCAGGAGACTGGCAAAGATAATCTTTCACGGTCTTGGCAAACCTTCCACGTTCACTATGTTTACGTCCACCACGCAAACCTTCAATTTCATTGCTCGTAGATTTGTTCATATTCACTCAGACGGTGGTGTAAGTTGTCCATTTTCAACTCTTAGTTTCTGTACACAGTTTTTCCTTCTCTTTTTGTGCTGCAGTTTGATCCCAGAGTGACCAATGAGGAATGCCGTTCTTGGGACCCAAGTCTGAATAATGGGCATGGTGATTGGTCCACACCAGTCTGCATGCGCAACAACACAGACACCAGTGACAGGATCAACTGCCAATGCAACCAATTTGCAGCTTTCACCATTTTTGCAGTAAGTCTTGGCCACTATATGTCCCTTAAAATGGACACTCTTTGGTCAATGAAATCAAGAGATTTAGATGTGAATTACTGTTTCGTTTTTTACCTGTAAGTTTGAGAACCTTTACCGAACTAAATTGGGCTTGAAGACACAATTGATTCTAAAGCTGCAACCACCATTTTAATTGCTTGTTTTTTTGTTGCTAGCTGTATGGGACTATGTGATCTTGTTTGTTTGCCCTAGAAAATTTAATTTGCCCCAAACAATTCACAGAATGACAATAAAACCTTTCTCTTACAAGTGTTAAATGTCATCACAAGTCGACATTTATTTGTCTCAACCAAGGTTTTGTGACAACTTTTCTCAAACTAGCAGATTCGCATTCTTAATGCTCATTTAGTTTTGATATTGCCTATTTATTCAGTTATATGTGGATTAATATTTTGGTCAGTAATGATGGGCTATAGAAATTAGCTAACATAGGGCTGACAAGACCAATGTGATCATGCTTGGACAATGCAGCTTAAATTTTCATGACTGGTTTTGGACACCACTTGGGTGAATTTTTATTTCAGAATTAAGATCTGGCTGGAATTTTAAAATAGAATTGCCTGATGTACCTTCATTTTGTAACTTTGCTCTTCCGGCAGTTAATTCAGCCATGAAATATCCAATTTTTTTAGGAGCCAGACAGCGGTGGGCCAGAGGTTGTTGATGGTGTCAGTGCCTTTGTGCGTGTCGCTGCTGTCATATGCATGCTGTGCCTACTGGCTGCCGTAGTACTGTACCTGCTTGTCAAGTAAGTTGCACGAAGCAAAAACGTAAAGCTGTGAAATGTATGCAAATGAACAAATTATATTAGTGCATACAAAACTGAGATCAGATTTGTTGTGTATTGTTGCATTAAAGCTTGCTACCGCCAAAAAAGAATGTCACATGCGGATTCCACTTATTTGTCACTGCAGTGATCTATTAGCCATCTGAAAACAATTAAATGTCTTAACGAGTCAAATTTCAGTGATGATAATATTAAATTGAGACATTCACTTAGAAAACACTTTGGATGCACTCACGTGGGTTACTTGTGTTGACTCCTATCCTAAGTACAAGAAAATGTTGCCTGTTCAATACTCTTGGTTCAAGAGCATACTCCTGCTGTGGCTGAGAGTTTACTCTCCCTGACTCATGGGTCGTAATCCTGCTGTTGGTGCACTCAGGAGTGTCCTGGTGTTAACACGAGTAGCATGCTCGAATGCGCCCTTAGAGTTTTTCAGACTAATCTCATAGGGGTTTGTGCACAGGGTGTCAAACGGTGTCCGTACATGGAATTCTTTCCTAAACTCTATCCAATTCACCAAGGTTACATCCACTCTCATTACAGGCTCTTCCTATAAAAAAATGTTTTTCAATTAACTTTTTGAAGTGGAAAAAATCTGAGAAAGTACATAAACTATCCTCCAAAAGTTTAATCCTAAATAGAAAATGTTCCCATGCCCGCCCTCCGCACCAGCCAATGTTTGGTTGTAGCTTGCATCAACTGCATGCGTCTTTAACCGGAAATAGTGACACAGAGTTACTTGTGCTTGTCTGCCCTTGTTGATTCACAGAGAACTTCGATCCCGACGGGAGATGCAGATCCTGGCTTATTTCTTCTGCGTCCTTGCCGCCTTTTATCTCATCCTGACTGCCGGAATCGACCAATCGGGGCTGGGCTGCATCGTCGTTGGGGCACTCCTCCATTACTGCCTGCTGGTGGCCCTGAGCTGGATGGGGATAGCGTGGGTCCACCTCTACGATCTCTCCAGACGGAAACCCTGGCCAGTGACATGGTTCCTGGCTAAGGTCTCCGGACCGGTATGGGGTAAGTCGGGATCAGTTGTAAAATAATTTTTTGACATGTTCCAAGTGAGGAAAAACTGTTTAGCTTATCAACCAGCATCACAAAGGCTGCGGTGGTCTTCATGAAGGCATGCCCCTGTAAGATTTATCAAGCCCCATGTGTGATTAGTATTCAGTATATAATTATCTACAACTGCAGATCTTACAGACACTGATTTTACTTCATCTCAGTTTAATTTACGGCTGCATCATTGTAACGGTTTTCAGACAGACTTCCATTGGTAGTTTATGCTCCATTTTTGGAGTACTAATTTGTAACATTGAATGGGATGTTTATACAACTGTAGGCCACGCTGCTTGGTTTGCATATTCTGATCATGAGAGAACATTTCAGCCTGCTTGTTATTATTGTGCCGATATGTAATGAGTGACAAGTGTTTGTTTGTTTCAGGTATTCCTTTCTTGTTTGTGATTATCACTGTCATCGTAGATCCAAACCACCATGTCACTCCCACTCAAAGGTGAGCTGCCTCAGAGAGAAACGTATCCACTTTCATTTTAAACCAACTTCAAAATACCACTTCTTACGATACTTAAGCTACCAAGCAAAGTGTTTCATGAACAAAATGTGTTTCCTTTTTGAAACTCTAAATGAATTTACATTAGTGGTTAAAAAGGGTACTGCACAGTTTTGTCATTGCATAAATTGAAAATTTCTCCGATGAAGGGTTACGAATATTCGCTGTTCCCTTTATGGTTGGATAGATGTTTCTTGTCAGCCGATCCCATCTACAACATCATTGTGGCCTTGATTCTTCCCACTGTGCTCATGCTGGTGGCCATGGGTGTGGCCTTTGGCTGCACTGCCCGCAATGTCATCCTGGACAACGAGGAAAGCCTGGGTGCACAAGACCCGGAGGGTGTGGTCAACGTGGACCGCCCTACCAGGTGGTCCAGATTCTGGAGGCTCTGGCAGAAGTACATCATGTACTCAGCCCTGATCGCGCTGACTGTCCTGACTTCCGTCTTTGCTGCGGTTATGGCCAATAGCTCGGGGGGTGGGGCACAGTATATCTTTGGCGTGCTGGCCATCGCCAAGGGCCTCCTGGTGATCGGAGCATTCTGCCTCTACCACCGGGAGGTCCGAGAGACCATGCTGGTCAAGCTGGGCTACACAAATGGCCCCGAAAGCAAGAAGTTTCAGCCGTACTGGTCTACGTCCAAGTGGCAGAAGAAGAACCAGCAGAGCGTGCTACCGGAGATGGAGAATGCTGCAGGTGATGAGGACAGAGAAAAGAACCTCTACCTGGACAACACGCAGGGCTCCAGCACCCAGACCAACCAGGGATTCAACCCGACCACCATACCCCTTTCTGCCATTGAGATGAAGCGAATGGGGGAAAACGGCGTGGCCAGTCACGTGAACAACGGGATCGTTGTTGAGGCTGACTTCCATGGCCCACTTACAATGTCAGAGGACTAACTCCAAATCATGTACATCTGTATATGGGTATAAATTAAAGAAATTAGAGGTCCATTTTTTGTGTGTCCCTGTTACATCTGACATATGATCTTGTAAGTTCAGAACACATTTTCTAATTTCCAAGATTGATGAATTAATGCAAATTACCTGCCAAACAAATAGTAATAGTTTGAAATCAATTCCGGTGATATTCCATGTCAAATAACAAAGTTCAGACATAACAGCGACACTAAAATGTCACACTTTTTCACCCCTAATTTCTGGAATTAACCATAGACAGCCGTAACAATATTATCAAAGAAATCCAGTGCAGTCAAACATTTAGAAAGTGTGATATGATGCTTGTCTTACATTTCTTGTATATGTATAGTCATATAGTGACCAAATGTGTCTTTCTGGAAGAAATAGCAGACAAATTTTTTCATGAAGTAAAACAGTTAACTACATGAGTCATATGATCATCAATTTATAGGTGAACCTTGGTTGAATTGCTCACAACTGTTTATTTGGTGCAGTGGTTAATTTGGCTTCATTAGAGAAGACATGTTTGTCTTTCATACATTGGAGAAAATATTGTAGAAATTCAAGTGCTGCTGCAGTCTATACAAGGAGGATGCAATTTTAATCAGCATTTTCAGTTAGTCCATGTGAGCAGCTGACTTGTTGCAGTGGTCCTGGATTACCGTTTGTAAGTATCAAAATTGAAGCTCATATCTAATATCTTTGGCTCAGATTTTCTCCGAATATTGTTCAGTCTTTAAATTTATGATCTTGAGTGTTTCATGCCTCCGCAGCTAAGTTAGACAAGAGGGCAGTAGACTGATCCATCAAGCCCTGCTGTGTGGTGCTCCAGCCAATCACAGTGGTGATTTTTACGCGTACAGCATGCAGGGGTTAATATTCAAAATGGCACTGAGTATGTGTTCATCGTCCAAGTGTGAAGTGGGTAGTTACTGAATCAATCTGTTGTAATTCATACAAACTGAAATAAGCCTTTGGCTCCACTGTTTTCTTAATTATTAAAAAGCGGTAAGACTGCACGGAAATAATTCAACACCAAAATGCTGACAAACTTTATAAAGGGGTACAGGAAAATCTGGGGGTTATATTACAAGTATTGAGCTTTGAAGCCCTCATCCTTGAGTAATGTCTTAGTTTATTTAAATGAATTGCAATTTAGTTTTTAGGTGGCAAAGTGTAACTTTGCACATGTATTATTCTTGTCATAATATAAGGGAAAACAATAAAGTGGTTTAATGTTTATTTGATTCTGCGAGCAGTAAGTCAGAATACATTTGTTGTTTTATTTTACTTGAGGAAAAAAATTGGAAATATGAACAACTTTAAATGGGTGACAGTGTAATAAATTGAGATTTCTTTTTTTTTATAGTTGGACAATGTACCAACCATTGGAGTTTGTTTTTATTTGTATATTTCTGCCCTAGCAAAATTAAGGTTGTGTTTTATGCCCATTATAGCTTCAACTGTAGACTTCAGTTGCTGCAACAAAGGTTTGTTATTTATTATGCAAATGAAGCAAAACCAAGCTACATTGTCCAAGCTCCGAGATGAATAGAATATTCAGCATATAATATTCAGAATGGCCAGCTCTAGAGAATTAGAATGAGCCAATTTCATGTTTTAAAAAGGCAAGGTCATTAACGAACATAGCATATTGGAAGCTGCTACTCAGCAGTGATGAATATTTCAGTTAGAATAAAAAAACAATCTTGTACCTTTATCCTTGTTCAAAAACGTTAACGGTAATTATCATTATCAACTTGAATGTGACAGTAAGTTACCTGTGCAGTGGTTGTACATAGCCACCATTAGTGACAAATGCACAAAGAACCAGCATGGGCAATTTGGAACTTTGAATATAGTTACTCAGCTCATGTATTATCATCACGAGGAAAAGTACAACTCATAAATGAATTTTATATTGGATTACTTTAAAGACTTGTACCTTGTCTCCTTTTTCCTCATTTGTTGCTGTGGCAGGCAACATCAAAGGATGTGGCAAGCAGGCACCAGCTCAAGACAGTACATTACTGAGAAAAGAGCCCTGGCCCCTGATAATTTTTGTCCATAAACATTGCCTGATTAAAAGGTGAGTGCTACATAGTTTTGAACTGGACACCAGGAGATCCAGAACCAGTTTGGGAGGGTGGAGTGGGAAAGGGATTAGGTTTAGCAAATGTGAGGATTTGAGTAACTTGTAATTTCCAAGACATGAGGCTGCATTTAGGGGCTTTTACATATGTTGCTTGCAGGAGGGGAATTAAAAATATTGCATTGTTCTTTCATATTTAGGGATTTTTATGCTGAGAACCAAAATGAACAGTGCCCCATACAGAAACATAAAGGCTTTGTAACCAAGAAGGTGGGGAGTCGATCAAAATTAATAGGGATGTCAACTGAAAACGTAGCTTTGGGGGGGGGTATTCCTAAAATCTAAAGGTTTGCATGTTTGTAAAGGCAGGTGGTTTGCAGTGACACCATGTTCCACCATTTTTAACTTTTGTGAGCATGTGTTGCTCCGAAAGGAGCTGGTTTACTCAACATTTCAGACAGTGTGTTCTGTCCATCGTCGGGATATTACTAAGTTAAAAATGCAATGCAGATGTGAACACACCGCTCGTGATAACAAGTTCACTACTCCCATGTCTCCACTTTAATTCGTTAGTAACTGGCAACAGGCAACATGGACAGAGTTGAGATACACATGTACATCAGAAAATAACACGGTGCCACATCAGCCAGTTCGTCATTTCAACAAAGCAAGGCGGTACGAGAACAAAAAGTACATGTCCTCGTGTCAGTTCTAGGTGGAATGTGGCTGCGCTGTATACAGTCACACCCCTCAATAAGAGGTCCTTAGGACCCTGCTGATTATCTTGTCACAGGAATTCAAACAGGACTGAAAACAACAAAGCACAAAAGGGATGGGGACCTAAAATTTCCTTCTTCTAAGCACAATGTATCAACTGCTCTGATTAATGTGATTAAAGCGTAGATATTCTTGAATAAACAACAACACACTTCCTTTTCAGCATGTGCTGCTGGACTACTGAACTATCTCATCTGAATAGCAACAATTCTAGCTTTTTACAATGCACAATTTCACAGAAATTATTTATTGAAAAGACAGTGGGCACCATAACATAAAACGAGCTAGTTCCTACTTTTCCCAAAACAAAAGTTCCAAATAATTTGCACTCTTACCAACTACTCGGGCTGAAACTGAGTCATACACTTTTGGATTCAGCTGCACAATTATATCCACCTCGTACAAATAGTATTGCATAAACCACGAGCTGCTATCAAACTACACATGTAAATAGTAACAATATACAACAACGTTTACAAAGCATCTATGTATGAAATTTTTCGCTAACATCCATACAGCAATTCTTCCACTGCTCATAGCCAAATGACTCTTCACTATTTTGGAGCCTTGTGCTTTATAAAAGCAAATTAAATTTTTGGAAGTATTTCCCATTTGAATATACACATAAACACGTTTGTACAATCCTGACAAAGTTATCCGAGTTAATTTGAGTAGTGACCAAGAATGGCCTGGTCCTTTCAATGTACATTACTTTTTGTAATGTTAAAATATAAATCCTTAACATTATACCAACAACAGTTATATTGCCACCAACCTCATAAAAAGGACGCCTCCCGACTTTGAACAGTAATTGTAAAATATCCCTTGAAGAGTGTTTCAGAATTATTTATACTGTACAGCAGAGAGACAATATGAGAGTACTGGTTGCCGTTCACATGGAAGTTTGAAAGCAACCTTAAGATGTGTCTGCAGGTGTCTGCTTTCGTTTGAGTGTCAGCGGTTGAAAGTTATGACAACTGCACTTCGGGCACTACATGGTACTGTTGCTGACAATAATTGTTGACTTCTTCAGAGAGCATCATCTAAATACTATTTAAAGCACTGTCTACAGGAAAACCCTACATGTTGGCCTCTGCTCTTCCAGGGTGTCCAATCATAGCCACCTGTTCTTTGTGATTTGGGGAATGCAGCCAGAGAAAAGCTGAACAAAAGCAGAGGGCAGCATTTAAGGTCTTCCTCATCTAAGAACAGTCACTCTTCATGGTGTTGATTAAAAACAGCAATATTCCTTAAAATCATTCTCTGAATAAATCTGCATGGTTGCACATGGCAAATGATTAAGTCCGGCAACCCCAAACAGCCACATCTGGCAATGGAATATCATTCTGGTTACCAGACTGGTTCTGCAAAATGCATCTTGGCCACTGTTCCCCAGTGTGAATCATGTACAATAACTGCATGTTACCTGCTCCATCTCAAGCCACACAAAAAGATCGGGAATTTTACTCTTTGTTCAGATCAACTTGGATGACGCTTTTACAACTTTGATTAATAAAGAAGTAACAATCTTACCAGGTTGTGAAAGGTTTATAATTAAAAAGCTGACATACATAGTCCCTTTAATTGAGTTGCAGTATAAACATACATTTCCACAAATGTTAAAACTTTTAAACCTGGAATTAATATCAATATCCCCCATTTGCTTTTAAATTCTGAGGTAGCCTCACACTGCAGGAGTAATAGTTTATTAGAAGTGTGTATGATTTAAAGCTGAATGATAACATTCAATAAGCCATCAAACTGGAAATGTCTGAATGGATCAAAGCAGGCCGAAGTTTCAAAGTGGTAAAAAAAAAACTCTTACAGTAACTATGGAGGCCACTCCACTGCCTAGCAAGAAGTAAAGGGCACTGTACTTAATATTTCCTTCAGCTGCTCTGCAGAAAGGTTAGCAGAGCACCAGTTGCAAACAATATACATACCATTAGTTTCTTGCTGGTAACCCTAAGCAAGTTTATTTGCTGAGCAGCAGTTGGCACAACAGCAGTTTCAAGCACTACTCATTTTGGGTCGGTAACCTGAATTTGCTCAGCAAATATTTTGTGTGCTTATTAAAAGAAAGTAGGAGAATAGATCCAACTCTGGCCATGGAACCAATCGTAAGTCATGTTATATCTGGACCAAAGGTAAAACGCTTCCAAACACTTCACATCATATGGTTTTTATCCTCTAGAAGCAAGACGTATACCAATCCATACCAGGCAACCATCTCCAAAATCCAGAGCCCAGCATTAGGAAGATAGTTACAGATTCTCCTATCATTTCCATATGTCAAACTGTCAATCTCCTCTCAAATCGTAGCTATCCATAATGAAACTATCGCCTTTTCTTTTTTAAATCCTGAAGTCACAAGTTCTCCAAACTGTTGCAGGGCAGGTAATTTTTATGGTTTCTTAAATCAGACATGTTTGCAGCATTGCAGTACTCACGACTAGTTTGCACATCCATACTTTTTCGGATGCCATGCTTATCTGAATGAACCAAACTAGCACACCACCAGTGATTCTGTGTGATTTTCTATCTGAAACGGACCTGTGAAGTGATCTACAACAGCCAGGATAATGCACACCCAAGATCACACGGGGGACCAGACACAACACCCAGACTTACAGTTGAAATTTTCAAATTGCATGTGCACTTTCCAATCTTGCCTCCAAATCACAGCACGACTGCAGAAGATGCCATACTCAAACCTCCCCATTATTCTACACTTAACTCCTCGTGTTGGCTGGTTGGTTCATTTCTGTCTTGGCTGATAGCCTGTGACCTGAAAGCAGTGCTTTAGTCCAGTCCATCGCAAGTCTCTTCACGGGTCCAGCCGTAAGTCCTTCCACAAAAACAAGTAGCGGGGCACACAATGACCGAGGCATGCTTTCGTCACAGTTCATTTGAATGGCTTGTGACTTGGATTAAAACGGAATGACTTGTGATAGTCTTGCAGGGACTTGTGATGGACTCAACTACAACGCCGGCTTCAAGTTACAATACCACTGGTGACGATCTCGTTGCGATACTCTCATACAATGCCAACCGATTTCATTCTCCCGTCTCCCCCTTTCAGCTGGCCAACGCCGTCTAATCAAACACCTCCTCCACCGTCTCTGGCTTGCCCTGCTCTCTGGCTTCTAGCTTCTGCAGCTCTTCTGACTTCCTCCTGGCCAGGTCTTCTGATCGTCGCCTCTCCAGCAGCTGGATCATCCGCAGCTCCTTCTCCTCCTTCTTCTTGTTGCGCTGCTGGAAGCGAATCCTGTTCGGTAATTTTTTTATGGGGAGGGGGGAATGATAAAGAAAGAAGAGCTTGATGCACCGAGTGTCCAATGCTGACCCGGTCTCAGGTCTCTATTGGCTCCTTACCAGGATGGAATAGTTCCCCCAATAAATGGAGAAAATATTGCAGGACATCAAAATTCCCATCATTGGGAGAATTGTAATCCTTATCCCAAGCACTCCTGGAACATTTCCAGAAGTTCATTTCCAGCAACGTAACTAAGGGTATCTAGACTTAAAACTTGGGTAAATTGGACATTTATAAAAAAATAATAGTTGAGAAACAATCTCAGAAAAGAGCTGTAAAATTATCTTTCAAAACAGCAACGGAAGAGAAACATAATTTTCTTCAACGTCACTAACGTTTACCTAAACATTTTGCTTGCACTTTGTCAACGGAAGACCACAATTAAAGTTTAGATCTCTAAGACACAGAATTCCACCAATTTAAACAACATTTACCTGTTCTCAATGATGCGAGCGACGATTTTAGCAGTGGACAGGTCACTTTTGGAATCTACAAACTTCAGAATACCACGTTTCTTCGGTTCCTAAAAAAGTTTGAACAATTTGAAGTAAACTGATAATTATTTTTACCAAAATACACAACAGATTCCTCAGAGGACCAGTCTGGTATGATGGGAGGTGCACTGTGCCTGTATCCTAATGGTACAGGTTCTTGTCCTAACTACGAAGTTCTGAGTAGATATTCAAGGACCCTTTGGGGGCTTTTGCTATTCAAGTAAGTCTTTGTCATTTGTTTTGCCTTCTAATTTTCTTCCTTTTTTTTAAGAACAGTGTAATTTGATGTACATGTACATGACTTCTTTGTTACTCCAAGTTTGTATGAAGCATATGCAGCGCAGAAATATGAAGCACAGAAATCAACATTCACTGCCAACATCCAATTTTCAGCGCTAAATGCACCTGAATATGGAAAACAAAATGATAAATTAAAGTCGAGGGCAATTCTCCCAGCACTGCCCAAAGAATCCATGCAACAAACTTGTAAATACGTATCTAATCAGGTACACATCTCAAACATTTTTCATGAGCTTTACCTCATAAGGATCAATCCCATCGGCTACAGGATGTATGTGTGTCATGCCCTGAACGACAAGGTTGACTTTGAAATGGTCTAGGAGCTCACCGGTAGTCACACTCGGGGCACCAATGACAACCTCATCCACATACTGTGTATATTGGAATAAAAAAAGGAAAACTATAGTTGAAATATAACTGCTCTCCAAGAGAAATTGCAGAGTTCAGCCCGATATTTCCTTAAGTAATCAAACCAAAAAGGGATATACAAGGTCTCGTGAGTTCTGGGATCTTTTCCCACCCTTTTTTTAACCTTTCACTAAACTCTAAAAGCTAAACATTTCAGGCAAGTCAACTTCCCCAAACTTGGTTAGACAATGGGAGTTGCTCTATTTACCCTGCATGCCAGGGCACTGAGCGTTCTCTCGTGAAGGTTCATGATGGGGTAGTTGCCTCCATGATATCGATTCACCTCCTGCAAACACAAAGACAATTTTCTTTTGAAAGTGTCTTTCAACACCCTGCTGATTTGTCACCGTATTTATAAATATCAGTTTACGGTAGTAATGTATCATTTTTTTTCATAAGCAGCGTATTGCCCGTTGCACCACAAAGTGACGTACTGTCCACAGACTTTGTACACATGATACAACAGATCGTGGTGCAGTTCCTGATTGGCATTACAAAAAGACCACACCAAATGCTCATTTAGTGCCTCTGGGCTAATAATTTCATTTTTGGGGGGCAAGTTTCTTTGCGGTGTGTGAAAGTGATTTCCAGGAAAATGTGCCAGAATTTCATCAGTGAAGTAACCCTGCTCGTGCCCCACTACCAAATACTGTGAAGCACCATCACACATCCTGCATTCATCCTACTGAATTTGACAAGAAGTTTTGACATGTTTTCCCAAGGTACACAGGGATCCAGTCTTAAATTTACTGAAGATCGAAGCCCATTTTTCACTTCTGGTGTACCGTCACGGAAGAAGGCAGCCGGTGACCACTATTTGCACAAAAACTTGCTCCAAGTCCTGCGTAGATGCCACTTGATAGTTGTCCCCTACCTTATCTGTATGCAGGCCGACTATCAGGAAGTTACCCAGTTTCTTAGCCTCTTTCAAGAATGCCACATGGCCCAAGTCTGAGCATACCATGGTCAAGGAATCCAAACGACAAACATCTGACACTCTCAAAAAAAAAAAAAAAACAATCACCACTTAATCCGCAACACACAACTGACCCCTCCCCCCAAAAAATGGTTCCCAGCTAGCTTTGTACTATGATTACAATTACTTGGGTTCATTTGAATGGAATCTGAAATCAATAGCTCCTTCACCCCACTGTCTGCCCTCTGAAAATTACCTTTGAGGTGACATGCACACCACAACTTACTAAAGCCACTATTGCTATATTTCAATGGTGCACTGAGAAACCTCCAAGTCAAAATCTGCACCCCTTTTAACGACACAGACTTTGAATTGATTTGGTAGTTTTCGCATTTTGCCAGATATTCTTGCTTTCAGGAAGCTGCCAGTTAAAAAGACGGGGTTAAAGGTGAATAAAATTCTGCTGATATGATCAAAGCTCCACATGGCTTTGCGGTGTTTATTCATCTTTCAGAGGAAACCAAAGTCTTCCCCAAGAGACAGATTTACTGGAAAGAAAGCTTCAATCCAAAATCTAACAATTTTTCTCCTTAAATCTCTCTGAGCCATCTAAATGCCTAACTTCATTTAGTCAGATGTTCCAACGATCAAAGAATGGGACAAACCTTAGTCGACACTAACCTCTAACCCTCTTTTCATACACTGGTGCCCAACCTTGATCAGATACCAGCTTATCACCCAGAGAACAATAGGGAACAACAGGCAGCAATCTTTAAAGCCAATATGCTTTCATAATCGGCCTTGGCATAGCCACTGACAAAGAATGGGAACATATCAGCTTCCATCATAATCCAAACTATATCGCTGCATGAGATGAGTGGTCAAGGCAGTTTACGTCAAGGGAATCAAAGGCAAAATTACACAATATCTGTATTATCACCAAATCATCCAGCTTCATCACCCCATCAAATCCAAAATATGTTCAACTTGGAAAGGTTTCATGATCGAAAATCAGTATAAAAACATAAACCTTGAAATGAAAAAAAAAAATCATACCTCCCATATACAAATACCACCGATCTCAAAATCCAGTGCAGTTTTAAACCAATTAGGCTCAATCTGACAGCACTGTTTACATTTGGGAGAACTATTTACATTCACTGACTAGACTGCACTCACCTACAACCTTTAGGTTCTGATTTCCTTAACTTAAAGCTAATGCACCCACTTTAAACAGTTACTGCTTCTTACATTTTCATTTTACTACAGCGCTTGCACATCTCCTTACATTTGTCAGTACTGGAAAATAGGCGAGACAACTGTAGTTTGACAACTGCTCAATTGCTTCTTCACCATTATGATTCCAAAATGGTCAACTATATCAACCAACCATCATTTGAGTGACAGTTGCAACACTTAAGTTACCTATAGTCACTGCTCAAACTTGCCTATTAACCCTTCCACCGAGTCCTCAATCCTCCAGTGGGTGAAGGACTGAGGACTGTTATGGTTGATGTGCTCACAAAGAACAAAGGATACGGAAGAGATCAAAAGCACCGGGGCAGTAGAGGATGGTGTCACCGGGAGCAGGTTCCTTGCCTCCGGCAAACTGTATGATCTTACGGGTGGTGGGTAGAAATTGGGACACACCGGTGTAGGGACTGCCCATGCTGGAACACTGCACAATTGGATATTTATTGGAACATATTAATATCACATTGACTACTCGATGAAAAAATAACTGTTAACACTTGTACAATGCAAATGTCCTTTATTCTGGTTTGTGTACTCTACTTGATAATGTCTCATATCGGCAACTGTAGGGGGCATTGTCTGTATATATGTCCTGGTTTACGTGTGAGAATGACCAACAGTGGGAGCAGTCAAGCTGCAACTCAACTTGCACATTTACGAACTTTAAATCTGTGTTCACTAGTATGCACATGAGTGCAACTGGTATAGTCAGCAAAACCTGGAAGTGTTGTTCTAGTCAAGTCCATGTCAAAACCTTTCACAAGCAACAGGCTAGATTATGAGATAAGAATACTTCTGTCCCCGGCCAGTTGTTGAATTTGGATGATGTCTGACTTCATAATTGAATGATTTGTTGAGAGAGACTTGTGATTTGGAGGGACTTGTACATATCGCCTACAACACTGGTTGGAGACACTGCATATGAATTGCCGTCATAGGTAAGGAAAACTAAGCAAGGGCTAGGACATTCCTCCTCAAAAAACCCAAATCAAAAAACAAACAAACAACCCAACAAACATACAACTGACCAACCCAGAGACCAACAAAAACAGATCTTGAAAAACTCTAACGTTTAAACATGCATCTAATGTATCATATCCCTCTCTTACAGTCAATTTGCAAATGCACTTGATATCAAAACATTTGTGACAGTAAAATTCATCTTGTCACTGCTTGAATATTGGTTTTAAAGTTACGATTGCCACCTTTGTAACAAGGAGCAATTTTTCTGCACAAAATCTTTACCCACTGAGCGCAAAAGGTGAGCCACTACAGAAAAAGTACTTAGTTGTATAAACAAAAACAAGAAAACGAATTACGGTGGGATACCGCTGGAAAAATGCAAGTCACTGTAAAAGAACTGTAGTTAGCCACCCTATCTGTTTTATCTTTAAAGGTAAACTGCGTGTTATCACCTTGGATTATTGACTCTGCAGATTTGAATACACTTGCTAAATGTGGACAACTTTGAAAATTCAACAGGAAAAAGATGCTCTTTCTAAAATGAAAAATAACCAGAAATTGAAATGTATAAAGTCTTTCTCCTGAAAAAACGTTTATGCCTTTCACACAAACCATCAAAAGCTTTTCTCCAAATCTTTGCTGTTGAAAACGGCTCATTTTCAGGGCATTTATGAGGTAAGTACAGGGCATAAAATACAAAGTGCTAAAGCAGATAGTTAGGACACAAAAGTGTCACTAATGTTACGGCCACAAAATGTTTAAATGGTTAGAAAACGGACCTAATGGCTGATAAATACTCACGCATGACCTTTTTTTTCATTGCAGAAGTTCATAGTCCATGTAGATGCTAAATATGCCAAACACGGAGGTAAGTAACCTTTGGAACATAATTTGATCTTTTTTGTTATCCACTCCAACTCACGCTGGGATTCTCGCTCCCTTTGTCGCTTCCTGACGGAACGTCATGCCCTGCGAGATGATGTGTTTTTGTCAAGAGAAGCATTCTGAGGAAAAATGATTGAACATCAACAATTAAAAAAAGAGGCATACCTTTTTAGTTCAGTTTTATTTTTTCTTGCATTTTTCTGGCATTCTGCTAATAAGTGTACATTTCAGAGCAGCAAATTCATTATTTAATTGAATGAAATTATTCACCTGCCAACAAGGTCGGTGGTAGAGATACCAGCTGTTCTCTGACATTCCCTGATTGACAAAAAATGGACTTGTAAATTAGGGTTATAAAACAAAAGTGCTATTTACATTCAAAGAATTCCTTTTCATTCTTTTAAAGCGTTCAAACAATTCTCAGATTTCCATGCATGATTTACAAACTTGTATCTTCCTGCTGCTTTGACCTTGCGATACGTGTCGTTTCCGTCAGCATCAAGTGTAATGTCGTCTGAAAGATAAGAATGCAATCTTGTGGAAATTATCAAAAAGCCACCCCTAACGCTACAAATGTAGAAGTCATAGTTGGATAATATGTCAACTAGTTTTTTTTATTACACTCAATCATTCAAAGTTGATTTCCCTGGCGCAAAAAGTCTTTTCCTGCGCAGCATGATTCCATATCTGCCTTAGGTAAGCAAACTTGCAACCCTGGAATGAGGGGTGACTTTCAATCAATTCACCTATTACAAACAGTATATTGGGCCACATTCAATGGTGCAATACATGTGCCATTCTAGCGTACTGCCAATAAGTATGCTGGAACAGCACTCGTGTAGTCCAAAGTCTTACATTTACAAGAGATAAATTTATCTCAAGTCTTTTTTCTTTTATTTAGTACCATTGTGCATTTGACATCCAATGCACATTCTCCTGCTTGTCCACCACCACCCATTTCAATATTGGCAATAAATTTTACACCCAAAGGGTCTCAACTGCATCACTGGTTTACACAAAAGCCCATAGATCACTTACACCTGGCTTCTTAATTAACTTAACATGTCACTTACTTCCATGTACACAGAAGTCACAGTTGTACTTGTCGAGAGTTTCGATTTCAGTAACATAGGGGGCATCCTCTATGACCTCATCGACCCATTTGATGGCACGCACCATCGCATAGCGTTCCCGCTCGTTAATGACAGGTGGACCTTTATGTTTCATGATTTCAGCTGATAAGAAAAGCACAGAATTTGAGGGAACATCAGGCATTAGGTCTTTCCACCTGCAACTCTCACGTCTTCACAAAACAAAAATTCCAATCAAAGGGCGAAACTTGCCATTTAAAAGTCAGCACTCCACTGTACCAAAAAACCTGCTTCTTTGTTAAAGAAAGCAGTTCAAAAATCTATCCAATTCAATGTCATGTATTTGAAGTTCAGAATTTATTTATTTGTAAAAAGTAATTTCATATTATGGATAATTTGATTTATTTATGCATAAGCATAAGTGCACGGGGAATTGAGGTTTAATACAAACAAGTGCAACTCAGTTGGAAAAACCAAACACTACACAAAAAGGCAACGGATTATTATCGGGGAAAATATATTCTATACAGTCATAACTACTGATCCGTGTCAAAAAGAGGAATCTATTTTTAGCAACATAAATTAGCCAATAGGCTCATTATCAAGCATAAAAAACTACATATATTTCTAAAGTCCTTTGAATAAATATGAACTGAAAGCATTCAAGATTTTCAATTTCTCATAATCTTAATGGAATCATAGGCAATGGAACAGTAATTTTAATTAAATTTCCAAAGAAAAACAAAGCTGTCTTTTTTTTTAAATTGAAAATTAAACGTTTCTCTAGTGAAAGGTTATGAATATTCTCTGTTCTTTTAAGGTCGGATAGATGTTTCTTGTCAGCCGATCCCATCTACAACATCATTGTGGCTCATCTACAACATCACTGTGGGTTATATTCATAAACCCTTTATTAGATATTTAATTTTAAAAATAACTGTTCATGGCAACGTTGCTAGGATCATAACTGTTTGATTTCTCAGTGAGACGCCTTACCACTGAATGGACACAGCATGTTTAGGTCTCACTGTTACTGACAAGTCTCACTAAACAAAGACAACTAATAAATGATGATGGTCAGCTAAGGGTTGGGTAGCTCAGTTGGTAGAGCCTTGGTAGGGTAACCCAAAGGGCATGGGTTCAAATTCCTCTCAGACTACTTCCTTTCTTCAGATGAAAATAAATTGAAAGCAAACCTAGTGGTAGCAGGTTGTGTTTAGACAGACTTTCTACCATATTTGATCAACTAAATCAGGGTTCTCTGACTTTTTATCTCCTTCTATTTGTCTTTTTCTCTTTGAATGTTAACAAACAACCTTAATGACAACAACTTTAATGATTAAAAACTTGAATGTATTTGGCAAAGAATGCTGAGGTGATCTCCGGGAACAAGATGGACACTGAAATGTTTGGATGACGAACAAGAGAGACAGAGTGGAAAAATCACTGGATGAAAAGTTGACACAAAAAGGAAACAAGCTCAGCAGTTTTTTTATTTCCGCTTCCATAAATTAAAATCACTTCATACCATCTGAATGGACACCAACGATCAGATAGTCTCCCATAAGCTTCGCTTGCCGGAGGGAATTGGCATGACCGAAATGAACAAGATCATAGCTGGGAAAGAAAGGGGAAAAAAAAAAACAGACTACATCATTGGGAAACAAATAATAATTTCCTCATGGCCCTCACATGTTTGTAACCAGACACTGACTTCAATGCCTCCTGCCCGCCCCCCCATCTGAATGTAAAAGAAACAAGGACACGGCTGGGGAAAAAAGAAAGAAAAATATAACAAAGTCTGGCTGGGGAAAAAACACTGGGGAAAGAACACCTGGAAAAAGTGGTACTGCTTTTGGCAACATTTGGCAACAACTTGATTTGTTGGGCATTATCCAAATCAACCACAGACCTAGAACCTTCTGAATAATGCAGAACCCAATGGGGAAAACGTGAAGCCTTTTGTACACAGGTCATGTCAATACCACCGTGTAAAAGAGGCTCTTTGACTTCAATGTTACTCAGCAGGATTCAAGGGCAGATCCAAAGCCAAAGGTTTTTTCGGGGGAGGGGCCAGACAGGCTTGTTTTTTTGGGGGGGGCAGAGTTGGTTATTGTGGTTGATTTAGCTGCTCTGTGCTGAAATAGCTGCAGGGAGCTGAGACGGTTTTTGGAATGTTTCATGGGCCTGATGAGCAAGGGTAATAATAGCGGGAAGCACTTTGATCTTAACCAAAAGCGGTACATAAACACCTATTACTACTGTTCTTATGACCACAACAAAACAGCCTAGAAAAATATTAACGGGGGTCTTCAGTGAGAAAAAAAGTTTGTTCCATACATACATCTCGCATTCAGATCTGCAATGGGGAAAAATACAACGTAACGTCATCATGTCTCACAGTTTACGGGCACTCTGGCAAACCTACCAGCCATCACACCAGACTCGCACAGTCTTTCGTTGCCGTTTCCCAGCCGAGGTATCGTCATCCTCACTGGTCGCACGCTTCCCTGTGTTAACACTGCCACTGTCTGCCATGGTTATGCTGTATTACTGCATTACTTACTAGGTGATTCTTCTCCTGTCTGAGACAACTCTCTTCACAACCAGATCTGAAAGGAACCACAGACTGAAACCTTTCAGATCTAAAAGAGCCTAGGGTTGGACCTCGCCCTTCCTTTAAATTCCAATCAATGAGTTTCCGAAGTTCAAAGCTTCCTCATCATAACAAAATTCTGTTGGATGGAACTACCTCCTATTGTCTCACTACTGTGATTGTATGCTACCGTGGATAACTGCTCACTGTCAAATGATTCAATAGACTGCCTGACAGTGCACCTTTTGAGACTATGCTCAATGCCAAGGCACCAGTCCCATTTGTGTAACAGTTATCCTGCAGATGAGCTGTTCATTGCCAAATACCACACAAAAAAGTATCAAAATGAAAACTTTTCCTGTAAAAAGTATGGATCAAAGTAAATGTATGATCTTGTTATCATAATTAATAGTAGTGATGTTGGGTGCAATTGGTGATCAACACAATCATGCATATGTGTAAATCAGGCAATCTTGTACAAAATTTGAAAACTTTATTTCCTTTTTTTGACACAGTCTACTGCAATGTGAGTTAGGAAGAAAATACCCTACACCAAAAAGTTAAGGACCACTTTTTATTTTGCATATACTTTTCTATATGAGATATTTTACTGCTGAAGATGTGCATTTGATGTTTTGAAACATATTAAAGATTTGTTATTCCAGTGAGAACACCGTCTAGACAAACAAAGTGTAAAAGAACTAGACCCCACTCTTGCTTTAAAAAATTACAAATTAAGAAAAAAATGGTCTGAACTTTCTTGCGTAGTGTAGGCCTACTATCATCTGAAGGAGAAACTGACAAACTCTACAGTAAGATAGAGCCATCATGTCAACAGGCCCTGTCTTTGGCAAGAATCATCAACATTTTGTCAATGTGTTCATATTTTCCCTTCCTGACCTTGGCAGTGACTGATCATCTCACGTATAGGCCTACGAAGTTATGATAAGCCAAACACATGAAACATGCTAGACCTAAACGGCATGATGACGGCCAAAGCCTTCGGCTTCCACACAAGAAGCATTAAGCATGGTAGGTAGACCTTCCTTGTACATGGAGGCCCCTTAGGCCTTTTTTTGGAAGTCTTTCCAAAGTTAAAACCATAGCTACAGTAGAACTACAGTTGAACTACCGTAGAAGTTAAGACAACTTATTAAAGTCGTGAAAGAAACGTATCTGCATCAGATTCAAAAATGTTTTAGACATTATCTTACCACTGAAAACAAACCGCTGCGATTGTGGTTATTCCGTCCCTTGTCATTACCTGGCACACACTCCCATGGCCCATTGTATTGCACGGTACTCACGGTCTGTTTACCTGATCACGCCGATTTCTCACCAGTACAGCGTACATAGCGCGTGTGCTGAATATCGATTGAACTAATGATTGATCTGGCCAGATTCCACGCCCATCGCATGATGCTGGTCTGGTACCGTTCTCTCCAAGCATCACTAGACATACGGACCGTCCCCAGCATCCCGACTACGCACTGCAGATTACCACGCCCTCTATTGACGGCTTGAAAAATGGCAGATGACCGGAGCGGCGCCTCTTTCAAAGTGGTGAGAAAGATACAAAAACTGTGTCATTTAACGTGTTTCGGCATGCTTTGAAGATGTTGTGCAACTCGCCGACTGCAGCCTGGTAGCTTAATGATCAGTGACTTTTCTTTTGGAATCATTAATCAGTCTTCTCGTTGAAATGAAATGCCCAGCAATGCCAACTCAACTGATCTTGCCTAATATACATGTACATTTGTAATGACAATGCCTAGTAGCGCCCTCACTTAACTTTAACGTTTAACGTGTGTAAAGTTAAGGAGTATCGTACTTATATATCATGGAGTACTCTAAACATGTTATTATTATTCGCGCATCCAACTTTCTTGTTGTGAAACTCTTGATTGAAATTATGCATCGTCGGTAATTTACTGTCGATAATCGATTGTCACTTTGAGGTTTTTTCTTTCTGCATGTTCTGCAGCTCGGCCTATGTACTTGTGCGAATTAAATTTAGGCCTAGGCCTATAAATAAAACTTGTTCCAGTGAGAATTCAGGAAAATGTCGGCAGTTTTACTTTATGCAAAGTACAAAAGTTGACTGGTTAAAATTGTCTAGAAAATGGATACATGATCACTGTCCGCTCACGATCGGTGTTGTATGTCACATGTCCAACACAGGCACTGATGGTGACTTAAGTCAACGTTCACCAACAATTGAGGGTGTTATCAAAAATACAGAGCCTGAAAAAGCACTGTGCACCTTATATTTTGAGATTTCCATTGCTGACGACGGGCACAGATTCGGTGGCACTGTATTTTGCAGAAAAATACACCTAGATTAAAAAAGAGAAGTTTTGTCATAATACCAAGATCAACTCATATTAATGCTGATATGATTTATTTGAAAGAACAAAAATTCATGCCTCACTGTAACTTGAAATGAAATTGACCAAAATTAAGAACTGGGTGAACAAAAAAGAGAAAGTGATGGAAAATTGAGCTATGGCGAATGAAAGTGTTTTTTTTTCCCTCAAACTGCATCACTACACCAAAGCATTTAATGCAAAAAATAATTCCTCATTCAAGTGACATTAACTGGCAGATTTTTCAGAAGTAGGATATTACCAATATCCCGTAAAATGACGTTGGCAACGTACGTGTGCGAATTTTTGGGACGTAAGTTTTACTACAGCCAATCCCACTCATTTGTAGACGACCTTGTTCCTGTTGCTTCAGTGACATCCAGTGTTCTTCAATAATATTATTCCATGTAGGATTTTAATCAAACTTTCAACTACTGAGGCTCCAGCAACAGTCATTGTTTCACTTTAGCATAGCCTTTATATTATTTGAAGTTACACCTCTACATTTCTTAGTTTTACGTTAACATGTTTGAAGTTTGATTGCTGACAGCATGTGTATCAGTCCCAAATTTAAATTTGCACCCTTTGAAGTATTCCTTTCTTGCAAAGATGTAAAGAGAAATTCTGAGATTTTCAGGCGTTCGCTTTGTTGTGAATTCTCTGACATTATTGCCACGATTGAAGGAGAGGTGTCCCAAAACTGTAAAAGTGAGGATTTTCCTCTATGCCATTTACCATGGCTGGAGTGAGGAAATGTCACGGGCTGAAGAACTGAGATTTCCAAGCTAAGGCACAGAGCCACAAGTAAAATAAAACAAGTAAAACAGACTTTAGAGTAAGGGAAAAAAGTGTGTGCTCTGTTTTCTGCTGTCCGTGTTTTAATATCCAGATGGATTTAGAAGAAATTTGCTCGAGCCAGTTCTTTGGAAAAGTTCTTTAAAAACAAAACTCTTACTTCTTCTTTGCAGCTGACAGTTTGGAATTGGAGGAAGTGCCACTGTTGTTAATTTTTTTTCCTTTTCCCATTTTGCTTATTGTCACCTGAAATAGGAAACAGTCCAAAAGTTGCTACAGAGTACCTTTCAGGATGACAAGACAAAGAGTAAGTACCAATCTCTCTAAGTTCAATCCAAAGAGCCCGGAGTTTCCCAGAAACCTTCTCCAAAATTGATCATAGTCATAGTACACAAAAATCACAGCAGTTAAATGAATGTTACCGTGATGAAGCAAGGTTTGTATTTAAGTATTTCAGCAATGACATCACTGGTCAAATCATAAGTCAGGTAACAAGTAAGTTCCAATATTAAAACCCTGGTGATAAACCATGTCCTTATTCGAGATTTACGTGTATAACTTGAAGCTGAATGACTTGTGATTGGCTTGACAAATTAATGCAGGGATTGGCTAATTTTGGGAGAAGCAGTCAGAAGTCTATGTGTTGCCCCACTTGCTGGCTTCATGAGATCTTTCCTGCAGTTTGACAGAAACAATCTCACCCAATCCAACCCTACCCAACCGATACCAACTCAATTCAACCCTACTCAACCCAACCCATACACACTCAATTCAACCCTACTCAACCCAACCCATAGTTACCAACTCAATTCAACCCCACTCAACCCAACCCATACCAACTCAATTCAACCCTACTCAACCCAACCCATACCAACTCAATTCAACCTTACTCAACCCAACCCATACCAACTCAATTCAACCCTACTCAACCCAACCCATACCAACTCAATTCAACCCTACTCAACCCAACCCATACCAACTCAATTCAACCCAACCCATACCAACTCAATTCAACCCCACTCAACAATCCAAACTAGTTACAAACAATGTACACAAAACTTGTCAAGTCCCACAAATCTGACTAATTCCTTGAAGACGATTCTCATTTGGTTACTGTGCTATGTTTGTAGTTGATTTTTACAGTTGATATGTAGTTTGTATTTACTGTAAATGATTTCTGAGCTCTTTTTTTATTCCATGAACAGTCAGCAAAGATGCCTTGCGGTTGATGGTTGAGATGTTGAGAGTCTTTGCAGCAGGTAAGATGACGAATCACTCATTGCTATTGTTGCAGACCAACTTGATCAATCCTTCCTTTGCTACTGCGGCTAACACTGTAACAATGTTGTGTTGTTTATGTTGCTTGTTCTGCCATCTACATGTACCTTGTTTTTCATGATTTCTTTTAACCTCTTTTCTCTTATTGATAAGTACTTTTCAAATAATAAATTTAAGTAAAATAAAATGTTATAAAATGAAATAAATAAGATAAATATTTTTAAAGATGATTTTAGAAATCAATAAAATAATAAAGAACCCTGTTTCTTTTTCAGTTTCACATCCAAACCCTTGACTAAAAGAAATTTTGTTTAAGAACTACCAAGGGCTACTTTCATTTAAAATAAGAAAGGCTTTTACAGAGAAGAAAATGAAGATGCTTTTTCTTTTTTCGATCCATTCCAGAGGGTGCTGCTAGGGCAGCCCAGCAGGCCAAATCAGAGTCAAGCACAATCGTGGAGCCCAGACATTTTGAAAAGGTCTTACCCCAGTTGGTAGGTGACATGGATCCCAACTTTATCCCAAAGTTTTTTCACAGAAACACTCAATGTACTGTTCTACAACATACGATAAGCGATATGCAAAAAAAAAGACAAAAACAAACAAACTTATCTTTACTTTATATTTCGATAGATTGGCACACTGAGGGCAAGTACCTGGGCATTCATCACAAGCTCCTTAAATTTGCGTAAATGTTGGGTTTCAGCTGTCAATAAAAGTCACTACAACTGTCAAGACCATCCCTCAAATAGCTTATAGATTTTTCCATATTGTGCTGATGTAATTATATTCAGTATGTATTCATTGCATTTTTGGCACACTAAACAACCCTTACAATTTCTTTTCTGCAGCTTCTGGATTTTTGAGCAAAGATCTGCCCTGTCAACTAGAAATACTCTGGGAAGATTCTCCATTGTTTTACGATCCAAACAGGAAATGCATCTCTCCCTTCTTGATCTCCATGCATCTGATGGCCGTCCAACTCTCTTGCCTCAAAACAAAACGGATGAATAAGCTTTAAGTCCCGATTCCAATTGGCCAGTACTGGGCTATTAGTATTCATAATCTCACTCCAAGACAATAAAACTGGTGTTCTTAGTAGGAATTCCCCACTTTTTCTGATGAGCTTTACAGTGAAAAGTTTGTAATTATCTTTATCCCCGATCGACATTGCAGCACTGTGTGAAGAGAGTATGACTTGAGTATGTAATCAATGGCGTAGCTAGGATTCTACTAGTGGGGGGCACAACGGGGCACCAGCATCTTATGGGGGTGCACCAGCATCTTATGGGGGTGCACCAGCATCTTATGGGGGTGCACCAGCATCTTATGGGGGTGCACCAGCTTTCATTGATGTGTGTTTTTAGGGCAAGCTTTTGTTATAGCCTTGTTAAGTATCCATTTGTCAATTTTTTAGTGGGAGTGGGGCACCTGGAGGGCACTGGGAATGTGTGGGGGGCATGTGCCCCCCTCGTGGCTATGCCCCTCCTCTATGTAATCAAAGGGAAACAGATTATTGTGTTGCAGGTGCATTGTACACTTCTTCCATTAGCCTTGTAGAAGCATGGCAGACACAACAGGAGATCACTATTTGAAGTGGGTATATTTGGAGCAAACAAAAGATTTTACCTGAACCAACTTGCTCCCAGTATTTTGTCCGCTATGCTTCTAAAAGGCTAATTAATAGAGTTGTGCATAAAATGCCCTGCCCATCCAAACTCACGACGCATTGTGAACTTTAATTATTTTAATTAAATGATAGGTGTTTACAACTTGTAATACCTTATAAAACAAATTACCAAAAAGCACGGTGTGGGTGATATGAATGTGTACATTTTTAATGAATAGAATCGGAATAAAAACTCTTCGTTGTTTCATGAGTCATTTTAATATCGCTGCATGCTGTTCAGTGTTTGGTTTTGCATTTTATTTGCCAACAAAGTGGAGGTTTGATAAAACTAGAACCTTATCTGATTAGCAACAAAAAGTAGAACATGATCTACATGTATGTGGATTCACGCACAATTTACGTTCAATAAAATCGCTTCATACGAACCAAAGATCGCATAGCGCCGAAGGCGCCGCGGCTATGCGGCGCTAGCGCTTTACAATCTTTGATGTGAACTTTGTCATGCGGGCACATGTACAGCAAGTTGAAGTTTTGCACTCGTCTGTAGAATTATTGTTGCTCGTCCCCGGTAGGCATTCATAATGTACGAATGAATTGTACCTTCTTTATGAAATCCATACGAGGTTGAAACAACTCACCGGAGTACTGGTTCCCACTAGCCGAATTTGTACACACTCCACCCATATTTACGAGAGTTACCAGTGCATGGATCAAAAGACTGAACCAAAACATGATCATGTGCGTGGCCGGCGAGCTGCGAAGTACACAAATTACTTCTTCTTCTGGAACGCCCCTCATGTTTCCCTGAAATTCCCGTCAGCTGAAGCAACGCAAAGTAAGCTACAAGTGAGACGTCTCTCGTCCGACCTCGGTCGCGAAATCCAGCCAGAAAGATGGATGGCGTGGGTGATATTATAATCACCGATGTTGAAGACAGTGATCTGTGCGATTGGCAGTTACCGCTTGCCTTCATGAAGAAACGCCATACTGAAAAGATTGAAGGGAGCAAGACCGAAACACAGACGTGGCGCATGAAGGAACGGGTTGGTGCTTGTTATTTGCTTGCACTGACTTTACCTTTACAGTGTATTTTAATATTTTTCAGATGTTATTCACCATGTTCACTGAAATAAGACACAAGTTTTGGTGTTCCGTGTTCTCAGTCATGTCAGTTCTGACGGGTCAACTCGTACCCGGGTTAACTCGTACCCCGGTCATGCT